CATAGCAACAAGGCCGCAGTGCTGGAGTCTATAAGACTGATGACGTCAGACCAGGTAGTCCAGTGTTTCGCCCGTGAAGCGCGTCTTTTAGGCCGCAAATATTTTGAATTTTCACGCTTTATGAGAATGCCAGATGCATTTTCCGACCGGAAAATCGCAATATTTTTGGGAAAATTTTGGGCAAGTCGGAAAACTGAATTTTTGGGTGGAAATTTTTTTTGCCGTGTAAGTTGGATTTGACGTGTGGTCGATTGATAATTGTGTCAGTTGGTTTTAAGGCGAATTTGAACAAATTCCCACGTTCTTTTGACACTTTTATTCAATTTTGAACATTTCCCCTCCATAAGGGCCTGTACAACATTTTTCGTCTTCCCCCTGTAGCTGGCAGGGGAATTTTTTTTCGAACCAACCAAAGTCGATTTGTAGTGTCACTTTTTGATGTCTAACCGCCTGTCAAGGAATGGTTCAAAAAAAAAATGAAAAAATTTTTTCGAAAAAATTTTGGTGGTGAAAACCCTGTAGATTTTTTGAAAATTTTACATTTTATTTTTTTCCTCGCAAATTAAGCCTCCGATCGAAAAAATTTATTCTTTGTAAAACGTCTGGCTGGTCGAGCACTATCCACGCGCATTTTTGCAGCGTTCTACCCTGCACAGGTTTCGAAAAAATCGAGAAAATATGATTTTCCAAAAATTGCAAAAATCTCCCCAACCAGCCGAGGCGGAAGAAACCTAGTGACCCTAGTCGATAGACCGTGTCAAGCGCCATAAAACAGCCGGTATTCACTTTTTCGCTAGCACCAATAGTAAGCGAGCAATTGCCGATTTTCCAAAATCATGGAAAATTTCTGGGCAAATTTTCAAAATTTTTCCTAAATTTGCGGTGTCATATTTCGGTGAAATTTCCACTCAGGACGCCTTCGTGGGTCCAAAGCAATCGATTACTCACAAAAAAATATTTAGTTTTTGAAAACAAATCATCCCCAGGTATGGCACCTGTGACGTCATGGTGCTGGTTGTTTCAGCTGGCGGAAACACGCTATTTTGCTACAAGTTTGGCGGCGCAGCAACAGTTCAAACCCCAAAATGTATTTTTCAGATCCTCGTTTGCAATTTAAATTTTTTTTGGAAAAATTTTCAAAATTTTCGACATTGTTCAAAACCGAAAATGCGCAAATTTTTCACTTAAGAGTCGAATTGGCGCCCAAATTCCCCTTTTACTTTACATGGTTTTCGCATCTAGTTTCGCAGTAAATCAAGTTTGAAGTTAGACAGACTGAAAGTGCCACCCGCATTGTTCGCACACTGATTTGCCCAAAATTCCGCCACTGTTGAAAATATTTCAAAAAGTTGCCACGTGGTCTCGCCACAGTTCGGCTGTCTTGACAAAAATCAATCATCAAAACATCAATCGGGTAATTTTCAGGGATTTTCCCATAGCAACAAGGCCGCAGTGCTGGAGTCTATAAGACTGATGACGTCAGACCAGGTAGTCCAGTGTTTCGCCCGTGAAGCGCGTCTTTTAGGCCGAAAAAATTTTGAATTTTCACGCTTTATGGGAATGCCAGATGCATTTTCCGACCGGAAAATCGCAATATTTTTGGRAAAATTGTGGGGGGAAMAAGTCGAAAAACKGAATTTTTGGGTRGAAATTTTTTTTTGCCGTGTRRGTTGGATTTGACGTGTGKTCGATTGGTAATTGTGTCAGTTGGTTTTAAGGSGAATTTGAACAAATTCCCCCGTTCTTTTGACACTTTTATTCAATTTTGAACATTTCCCCTCCATAAGGGCCTGTACAACATTTTTCGTCTTCCCCCTGTAGCTAGCAGGGGAATTTTTTTTCGTACCAACCTAAGTCGATTTGTCGTGTCACTTTTTCATGTCTAACCGCCT